GCATCCGTCCGCATCTCACCCCCCCCCCCCCCCCCCGTCAGTTCTTCCAGCATCCGTCCGCATCTACCACCCCCTCCCCTCTGTTCCTTCAGCATTCATTTGCATCTCCCCCTCTCCCCCGGTCAGTCCTTCCAGCCTCCGTCCGCAGTCCGCGCCTGTCCTACGCACTCACGAAGGCGGCGCGTTGAGACGAATTGCCTGGCAACAACACGTCAGCAACTGACCCATTCCGGACGAGGTCACGAACGCCTGGACCACAAAGCTGCGCAGACCTCGCCTCGCCGCCCGGCCGATGCCCCCCTCCCCTCTGTCCCCTTCCCCTCCCCTCTGTTCCCTTCCCCTTCCTTTCTCCCGGTCTCTGTTCTCTTCCCCTTCCCTTCTCCTCCTCTCTGTTCCCTTTTCCTTCCCTTCTCCTCTGTTCTCTTTCCCTTCCCTTCTCCTCTTCTCTGTCCCCTTCCCATTCTCTTCCCCTTCCTTTCTCCCGGTCTCTGTTCTCTTCCCCTTCCCTTCTCCTCCTCTCTGTTCCCTTCCCCTTTCCTCTGTTCTCTTTCCCTTCCCCTTCCCTTTTTCCCGCTCTCTGTTCCCTTTTCCTTCCCTTCTCCTCTCTGACCCCTTCCTTCCTCCTGGTCTCTGTCCCCCTCCCCTTCCTTTCTCCTCCTCCTCTATTCTCTCCCTCTTCCCTTCTCCGCCCTCATGTTTTTTTTTCTCTGTTCTTTCCTCTTCATCCCTCCTTCCCTCTATCCCCTACCCTCTCCCCTCCTCTCCCTCCCCAACCCCCCCATCTCTATACTTCTCCTCCTTACCCTCCTACCCCTTACCCCCCCCCCTTTCCTCCCCTTTCCTCCCCCTCTTACCACTCAATCCCTTTACCCCCCCCCCCCCTGCGAAACAAAGGAAGATCAGAAAATAAGATAAAAGGTGATATCAAAATAGCGATAATATGTTTTGTGGCATTAATACAGGGAAGAATTGAGAGATGAAAAATTGAAAACAACAGCAACAAATATATACATCATATGCGCACAAACAAACAAACAAACAAACAAACACACACACAAACAAACGCACACAGAACACACACACACACACACAAACAAACGCACACAGAACACACACACACACAAACAAACGCACACAAAATACACACACACAAACAAACACACAAAATACACACACACACAAACAAACAAACATACACAAACAAACAAACACACACACAAGAACAACAACGAAATCGAAGAGAAGTCAATGAGGAAAAAGATAATTAAAGAGACATAATAACCACCGAGGCGAAAGGATTAAAGAAATAAGAGAAAAAAGAGAAAAATGGCAACGAAAGAATAAAAGAAAATAAGAAGGAAAGAGATAACGACGAAACAATAAAAGAAAAGAAACTGAAAAGAAGAGATAGTGACAGTAAGATATAGAGAAGAAGAAGGGAAGAAATGGAGGAAGAAAGGGAGACGAGGGATAAAGAAGGGAGAAGTAAGAAGAGGGAGAAGAGGAGGGAGGAGAGAGAAGGGAGAAAAAGGAGAGGGAAAGGAGGAAGGAGAGAGAATGGAGAAGTAAGAAGAGGGAAAAGAGGAGAAAGGAGAGAGAAGGGAGAAAAGGGAGAGGAAAGGGAGGAGTCGGAAGAGGAATAAGGAAGAGACGGGGAGATAAATGAGGAAAGGGAGGAGGAGGAAGAGGGAAGGAGAAGAAAGAAGAAATAGGACAGACAGTGAAGGAAAGGAATACATGGGAGGTGAGGAAAAGGAAGAGGAGGAGGAGGAGGAGGTGGAAGAGGAGGAGAAGATGGAGAAGGAAGAAGAAAAGGAGAAGGAAAAGAGTTGGAGAAAGATAATGAAGAGAGAAAAAATCAAATATTCATGGTGAGGGTGAAGATAATGACGATGGTGGTGATAATGAAGATGAAGATGATGATAATGAAGGTGGTGATGATGATGATAATGAAGATGATGATGGTAAGGATAATGAAGGTGGTGATGATGATGATGATGATGATGATGATGATGATGATGATGATAATGATAATGATGGTAAGGATAATGAAGCTAATGGTGATGATGATAATGATGGCGATGGTGATAATGAGAAGAGATGGAATGAAAGAAAAGATGAAGAAAGAAAGGGAATGAGAAAGAGATGAAGAATTAGAAGGAAAGAAACAGAAGAAGAGTCGGAAGGAGAAGAAGAAGAAGAGGGCGAAGAAGAAATAAAAGAAGTGTAAGAAGAAAAAATACAAGAGGAGGAGGGGGAGCATATAATCAAGAATAAGAATAAGAAGGAAACGAAGAGGAAGAAATAATAATAATAATAATAATAATAATAACGAGAGAATAATATGAATAATAATCAAAAGCAAAAGGCGAGGAGAAGAAAAAGAAGAGAACACAAAAGGAGCGGAAAACGAGGAGAGAAGATGAAGAAGACGAAGAAGAAGACGAAGATGAAGAAGACGAAGAAGAAGAAGACTAAGAGAAGAAGAAAACGAAGAAGACGAAGAAGAAAAAGAAAAAAAGAAGAAAACAAAGAAAACGAAAACGAAAACGAAAAAGAGAAGAAAAGAAGAGAAGAAGAAAACTAAGAAGAAACAGAAAAAGACTAACTAAGAGAAGAAGAAAACGATGAAAACGAAAAAGACGAAGGAAGAGAAGAAGAAAACGAAGAAGAAAAACGAAGAAGACGAAGAAGGCGAGGGAGAGGCGGAGGAGGAGGAGAGAGCGTGAGGAGGCGGCGCGGTGGGGAGCAGAGATCACCTGTGCATTACTGTCGGCTGTGCTGGTCGGGGAGAATCGTGCAGCGCCGTACAAGGTCGTGCAGGATCCGTGCAAGGACGTGCAGAGAAATGGCTACGCTTTTAATCCAGCCTCTATTGCCTTCGCTGCAATTGTGTGCCTGCCCTGTGCCCGGTTCTCCTCTCCTCTCTCTTTCTTTCTCTCTCTGTCTCTCTGTTTCTGTCTTTTTCTTTCTTTCTGTCTTTGTCTGTCTGTTTCTATTTTTTTTCTCTTTATATGTCTCTGTCTCTGTCTGTCTCTATCTTTTTCTTTTTCTCTTTCTCTCTGTCTGTCTCTACCTTTTTCTCTTTCTCTCTGTCTCTGTCTGTCTGTCTCTCTCTCTTTCTCTCTCCTCTTCCTCTTTTTCCAATGTTGGTTCCCCCATAGGAATCTCCTCTCTCTCCCCTTTTCCATCTCCTCTCCCTCTCTTTCGATCTCTTCCTTCCCTCTTCTCCCTCTCTTCTCTTCCCTCCCTCCCTCTCTATCTCTATCTCCTCTTCCATCCTCCAGTATTCCCTTTCTTCCATTTCCAATCCCTTCCCTCCACATCACCCTATCCTCACTTGCCCTCCCCCCTCCACCCCTCCCTCTCTCCTCTCCCCTTTTCCCTCTCTCCTTTCTCCCCTCTCCCCTCTTCCCCCTTCCGTGCCCTCACCCCCCGCCCCCCCACTCGTGTCCCCCCATATCCGGGGCTTTCCCTTAAGTGTGAGGATATTTAGAAGGAATATTGGTCTTTGTTGCTTTTAGATAATGTTGCCAACGGGTTTTGCTTCATTTCTGCAAGATTCATTATTCAAATAATATATATATATATATATATATATATATATATATATATATATATATATATATGTATGTATACACGCACGCACACACACACACACACAGCCACACACACATATATAACACACAAACATAAGTAAACTCAACCACACACACACACACACACAAATACCCCCCTCCCCCACACACAAACATCCCCCCTCCCCACACACACACACACACAACACCCCCCTCTCCCCCACTTTCATTATCCGCCTTAGGTCCATCTCTCGTGTCGCTCACATCTGGTGGCAGCGGTGGGATGGCGCAGCCTTTGTTCAGCCAGGGACAGATGTGTGGAGCACCACCTTCCGGATGTTGTTTATAATCTATCTATCTATATATATATATATATACACACACACACAAATAAACACTCACAAACATACACACACACGCACACATATGTATACAGAGAGAGAGAAAGATATAGTGAGAGAAAAGAGAGAGTGAGAGTAAGATGAGTGAGAGAGAGAGAGGGAGAGGGAGAGAGAGAGAGAGAGAGAAGAGAGAGAGAGAGAGAGAGAGAGAGAGAGAGAGAGAGAGAGAAGAGAGAGAGAGAGAGAGAGATAGTGAGAGAAAAGAGAGAGAGAGAGAGAAGAGAGAGAGAGAGAGAGAGAGATGGGGAGGGTAAGGGAGGGAGAGAAAGAGGGAGACGGAGAGGGAGACAGAGAGGGAGAGGGAGAGGGAGAGAGAGGGAGAGGGAGAGGGAGAGAGAGAGAGAGGAAGGGAGAGACAGAAGCGAAGGATAAATGACAGACAAATACTAAAGAGAGAAAGAAATGTAAAAATAAATGCAACAATAGTAATATCATTAACAATAATAATAATAACAATAATCATGATAACAATAGCAGTAATAAGAACAATAAAATAATGTCTATAATAATGATAATAATAATAGTAATGAAGAAAACAATAATAATAATGATAAAGAAAACAATAATAATAATAATAATGAAGAAACAATAATAACAACAATAATAAAGAAAAAAATAGTAATAATAATAATAATGAAAATAATAATAATAATAATAATAACAATAATAATAATAATAATAATAATAGTAATAAGGAAAATAATAATAATAATAGTAATAATGATAATAATAATAAAGAAAACAATCATAATGATAAAGAAAATAATAACAATAATGATAATAACGACAGTAATGATAAAAAACAATAACTGTTATTACCATCAATAACAAACGTGACAGAATTAACAACAATAACAAAATAACAATAATAATAATAATGACAACATCAACAACATCAAACAAGAATAACAGTGACGCCGGAGCAAAGAGTCTCTCGAAGTTTCCCCTCTCTTAGCTAGGGCCTCGACGCCCCTCTAGCTAGCGCCGGCGGAGCAGCAGAGACCCTCGACGCCTCTCTCTCTTAGCTAGCGCCGGCGACCACGATGGGCTCCGGGTTAACGACTCGGCCCATGAACACGACGCTGCTGGCGATGTAGTCCCACACCAGGAGCAAGAAAGGGTGGTCCACTTCGAAGTACTTGTCGCCGAAGGTCCCCACTTGCTCCCCGCCGCTCCCTTGGGGGGACGGGGTCTCTTCGCCTTCCTCGCGCACCTCCAGGACGGCACTGTGGGAGAGGGAGGAGTGGGGGTGGGGGAAGGGGGATGGGAGTAGGGGTGGAGATGGGGGAGGAGGAGGGGGTGGGGGTGGAGATGGGGGAGGAGGAGGGGGGTGGGGGTGGGAATGGGGGAGGAGGAGGGGGTGGGGGTGGAGATGGGGGAGGAGGATGGGGTGTGGGGGGAGATGGGGGAGGGGAAGGGGGTGTAGGGGGAGGGGAAAGGGGTAGTGGGGAGGGGGTGAAGGAGGGAGGAGGGAGTGTGAGGGAGTGGGGAGGGGTAGTGAGGAAGGGTAGTGGAGGGGGTGGAGACGGGGGAAGGGGATGGGGTGAAGGAGGGAGGAGGGGGTATGGGGAGTGTAGGGGAGGGATGGGTAGGGGTGAGGGAAAGTTGGAGGCGATGGATGGCGAAGGGAAGACGAGGGAGAAGGGTCAGGGTAGGAAGGGGAGGGAGGGACTGTTAGAGGCAGATACACTCGGTGTTGAATAATTCTCTCTCTTTCCATTTCTCTCTCTCTCTTTTTCCCTCTCTCTCATTCTTTTTCCCTCTCTCTCTCTCTTTTTCCCTTTGTCTCTCTTTCTCTCTCTCTCTTTCCCTTTGTCTCTCTTTCTCTCTCTCTCTCATTCTTTTTCCCCCTCTCTCTCTCTCTTTCTCTTTCTCTCTCCTCTATCTCACTTCCCCCCTCCTCTCTCTCCTCTCCTTCTCTCTCTCCGTCAAATAAAGCGCATAAAGAAGCAATCAGTAATGTAATAAGTACAATAATAGTGAAAAATAATAATCTTGATTATTATATGTATGCATATGAATATATATATTATATAAACATGTATATGTATATATATACACATACATATACACATACACACACGCGCACACGCACACACACACACAATTATATATATATATATATATGTAAATACATACACACAAACATACACATATATTTGTTATGTGTATCTATTTATCTATCTATATATATATAAATGTACACATATACATTAAACAGATATATATATACATATATATACATATACATTATATATACATACATATATATATATATACACACATTATATATATATATATATATAAACACACACATTATATATATATATATATATATATATATATATATATATATATATATATATATATACAAATATATATATATATATATATGTATATATATTATAAATATATATATATATACATACATATTTTATATACATATGTATACATATATATATATATATATATATATATATATATATATATATATATATATGTATATACATTATATATACATATATATGTAAACGTATATCTATAAATATACATATATATGTAAACGTATATCTATATATATACATATATATGTAAACGTATACTTATATATATACATACATACACACGCACACACACACACACACATATATATATATATATACATATATATATATGTATACATACATGTATATCTATATATATATATAATATATATATGCATATATATATACATATATATGAATATATATACATATACATTCATACATACACACACAAACACACACACGCACATATATCTATATCTAGCTGTGTGAGCGACACAAGAGATGAGCTTAAGGCGGATAATGAAAGTGGCTTTGACTTTTGGCTTTATTCTGCCGAGGTATGGAGAATGTCCCCCTTTTATTCAGCGGCTACACCCTTGACGGTGCTTGCTTCTGCAGGCTGGAGTGTCAGGTTTATCAGGCCGTGACAGGAGGGTGAGTCACTGGGCTTGCTCGAGGGGGACATGTAGGTCACCTAGGAGGTCCTTGGGTAAACCAGGCACAGGAGTGGAAGGTGCGAAGTGCTGATTAAAAGGGGGACATTCTCCATACCTTGTAGCGAATAAAGCCAAAAGCCACTTTCATTATCCGCCTTAGGTCCATCTCTCGTGTCGCTCACATCTGGTGGCAGCGGTGGGATGGCGCAGCCTTTGTTCAGCCAGGGACAGATGTGTGGAGCACCACCTTCCGGATGTTGTTTATAATCTATCTATCTATATATATATGCATGCGTGAGTGTGAGTGTGAGTGTGAGTGTGTGTGTATTACCACATACACAGAAACAATTCACGCAAAACACCCAGGCAACCGACACCAAGAAAGTACTCATCCAAAGGCGTGAGTGTCATGCAGTACTTGTGGAGGGTGTCATGCAGGACGAGGCGCGGGCCGGACGATTCCTCCGCAAACGCCGCCGGAGGGAAGATCTGAAGGAGGCCCAGGGACTTCAGCGCCGCCTGCACGGGGGGAGACACG